AGTATTTGCAGCAAAAGTTAGAAATGTATTCATAATTATTATAATAATAATTTTAGTAAAAATTGTGAGCATATTTAATTAGGCAATAGTTATCTTATTTGTTTTAATGTAAAGTTACAATTGCTATAATATATAAATAAAAGAAAATAAATTTTGTGTTAAATATAAATATTCTTGTATGCATTATTAAATGCAAGAATTTGTAATTTAATACATTATTGAATTTTGATCAAAATATTGTACATTACATAACATTGTAGTGTTTTATTGATTAAGTGAACCTTCAAAATAATATTGATAAATCACAACAAAACACCCATTGATTCAATTACTTGAATACAAATAAATAACAAATAAGATGTGAAGGAAAACACTTGAATTATTTGAGATACTTATTGTTTAATTATTGTTTAACATTTTTCAACATTAAAAGAGATTTTGAATATTTTATATTTATTAGAAAGAGTTAAATTAATTAAATATTAATTTTACAATATGTATAAATAATAAATTTAAAAATAGTGTAACTTCAGTTTTAAATTTAACTTAATTAAATTATTTAAGTTTCATCTAATAGAGCGCATAAATATGGACTCCAATCAATAATATTTTGTCAAATATAAGCTTAAGATTTAGATTATCAATGATTTATCATAAAAGAATTATAAGCTAAAAGTACCATGATTAATAAAACTTATAGATGCATAAAGTTTTGTCTAATACAATTTGTATTAGTTTAATGTATGAGTCCTTGAAATTCAATGTTCTTCAATACAACATGATTAGTCTAAATGTAAGATTCAATTGACGTTTATTAACTATTATTAATATAAATATTCTGTACCATATTACGAGTATAATATATTGATATTATCAATAAATCAACTTGTGTATTTGTGGGTTATAAATTATAATTTATAATATAAAAACATAAATATAATAATTTATAAACAAAACATAATTATTAATTAATCAATCATTAATGAAATATTTTGATAATAATCGGCCCATAAATATATTAATACAAAGTTATGCAGATATAGTTAACAGTGATTTAAATTCAATACATTTTTATGATATTCAAGAAATTAATCAACAAATTACAAAAAACTTTAAGCGACAGAATTGATAACAATAGCGAACGCAAAGACAATGAAAACAATTTTATCGATAATGAATGTCAAGTCCTCGGCGTTGGGCTGACCGGACTTCTTGGTGTCCTGTAATTGTTCCGATTGTGTCAACTGAATGCTCTCGTGTTCAGTGTTTCGGTACATTTGCAGCAATGGTTTCGTGACTTTTGCGGTCCACAAAGGGATTTCACATTTCAATAGCGATATGTTGTACGCAATGGTTAACCATATTTGCAATAACCCAACAAAAAGAACGGATAAACTTAGAAAACGAACTGAAAAAACAAAACAACTTAACAATTAACTGACAATTCATTAATTTAATAACAAAATTGTATGCAAACTGACCCGCAATGGGAACTCCGAGTGAACTAAAACCCAAATGAGTTCCCAAATAAATGAGAAGTAGAGTTAGGGTTAGAAAACTGAATGAATTCAATACAAATCGTATGTTAGATCGGATGGGAAACCAGAATGTGATAAGACTTCCGATGATAGCCATGAGAGCCGGGATTGAAATAATGTAGTGATAAAGAGTGGGTCGGCGTTGGAGTCGGAAGTAAAAGCTGACCGACGGATACGGCTCTTTACAGCAGTCGTAAAACATCACTTTTCGCGTGGCGTTTATGAAACTCACCTCAAACTCAGTGTTCTCGTAGAAATCACTTAGAAATTGTGGTTTCTTTCCATCTGATTGTCGGTAATAAATCATGTCATTTATAAACATATTTATATCAAATTAATCAAAATATTTCTAAATATGTTATTGTTAAAATTGTTGTATTGTTTTTACAAATAAATAAAACAAATAAAAAACAATTAATAAATACAAACCATTTTTAGGAAAAACATCTAGAACATATCCGTCGTGAGTCCATGAACCAAACTTAATAAAACAAATGTGTTCATCGTATGGCCACCTCTTCAGGTTGACCCGACACAGAGGCTTTAGTGTCATTGGAGGCACCCATAAGACTTTACCATTCTTATAAACAAGCGCTTTGGTATTTGCAAATTTCTGTGTGCCGTAATCGATGTCATTATAATTCATAATATCGGGTAAATATATTTGTTCCGATGGCGTCCTAATCAGATCAATGTGTTTGAATGGTGTCGTATCCCAACTCAAACTTTCGTCCAGCCTATCAATCATTAACATTATTAACATTCAAAC